ACCTCGGGTCTTAGTACAGGGATTTGAAGGCATATTGAAGAACACACGGCATCATATCAAGCTATAAAAAACCAGTCTAAACTGATCTTTAATTGTGCGGAATTGACATTCAACGCGAAATCAAGATACACTGGTTTGTATAGCTTGAGGAGTCCACACGACAACACATCCAGTTAAGCAAAACCAGTTATTACATGATCTCTTTCTGTATGATCTTTCTGCGCATTCAACGGTCAGTTTATACTGGATTTGCATAGCTCGACGTGTGTATTCACATAGCACCCTTCTTTGTCCTATTTACACCCTTCCTGAGGATCTCTGCTCCTCTTTATTCACGTCGAACGTGATCTCGCATAAATAGCACTTAACATTTTACAGATTGAAGATATATTTGAACGTTTTATGGTTTTTCCATTATTTATGAGAACAAAATACCTAGTGTATTTTGCTGAAGTATGATTGTACAAAATATACATACATAACTTTACGTCTGTCTCCCATTGGGGTAGGCAGAGATTATGGAACAAATCTCTTTCGCTTCATCAACAGTCATCAGTCTTTTCATGCATGCTCGTCGGTTAAGGGTGGTTTTATTTTTGGTCCTTCTTTAATATATCGCCAATCCGGACTGTATATGTCCGTCAAGGGGCCCTCTACCGATGTTATTCATATCTACTTCTTACAAAATTTAGATTTCGTAATCGCTGTAAAAGGTTTTGTTTTACCAAAGGAAACTATAAATATATTTAAAATTCCTACAGCTGTTCAAATATTTTTTTATTTTATTACAGGTAACACCAGGCCACGGTTGTTCGAAGAAGAATACTCCTCAAGAGATAGCTGTGGCTACAGTGACAGCTTTACGCAGAACTGTACCAGCTGCCGTTCCCGGTATGAATGTACTCCTTCTTTTTCTTTCATCCTGGTCTTTCCGACTTTATTTAGGTTGAGTCTTGAGTAGATATTTGGTTAAATACCTGCCATCTGCTCATTGACCGGCCATTAAATACTCCCATAAAAAATAAGATTTTTCTTGTTGTATAATGACTGCACGGTTGGTGCGGTGGCTGGGCAACCGGCTGCCGTGCAACGTGTCGCGGGTTCGATTCCCGCACGCAACAACACTTTGTGTGATCCACAAATTGTTGTTTCGGGTCTGGGTGTCATAAAAATGTGAACTTGTATGTTTGTAAACGCACCCACGACACAGGAGAAAATCCTAGTGTGGGGCAACGTTTTTTAAAAAAAAAACAAAAAAAAAAACCAAAAAAAGAGAAATTTTATTTTCAAAAAATACCATAATCAGTTTATACATGTGTAGACAATTGATACCTATATAAAAACCCCGAAGTTATTTCATAACTTATTCTTATACTCTCCAGGAATCGCTTTTCTCTCCGGTGGTCTAACAGAAGAAGAAGCGACAGTGTACCTGAATGCTATCAACCAGGTGAACTTGAAGAGACCTTGGGCCCTCACCTTCAGTTACGGCAGGGCACTGCAGGCTTCTGTCTGGAAGACCTGGGCAGGGAAGGATGAGAACACTAAGGCTGCTCAAGCTGAACTATTGAAGAGGACAAAGGTATTTATTGTCATATAGGTAGGCCCTTATATATTGCATGCTAGTATAGGATAGATAGATTTGGAACATCTAAAATTCGAAATGAAAAAAGTCTATTATGACCAAGGGAATGAATGAAAATAGCTCTTTTACATTGAAAGAGAAAGAAAAGAAAAATCTTAAAGACGTAAAAACTGTTTAATCGCCTGCACGGTTAGCATGCTGGTTGGGCAACTGGTTGTCGCGTAACGTTTAGCCGGTTCGCCTTCGATTCCCGCATGGAACAACTCTTTGTGTGATCCACAGATTGTTGCTCCGGGTCTGGGTGTTATGTGTAATTGAACTTGTATGTTTGTAAATTCAACCACGACACAGGAGAAAATCTTAGTGTGGGGCAATGTTAAAAAAAAAAAATTAAAAAAAAGACAAATAGTTTAGGATTTGTAAGTTATTGTCAAATGTTCATTAATTTCAGGCGAACGGGCTAGCCTGCCAAGGAAAGTACCAAGGAGGTGCTGCATCATCAGCTGCCACCAAGTCCAACTACGCTGCTAATCATAGATACTAATAATTTGATAGTCGTAATCGAAAAAAGACGAGTAAACGAAATTACTTCTAAAGATGTAGTTTATTTTCAGTCATAAACTTAGACTTATGCCCGGTTTCATAAACCTTTCCTAAATTTTAAGGGAGCCCTAAGCTAAAATAGGTGACATTTAAAGATATTTTGGTTTTCACCAACCTATAAGTGACACCTAACAGTAAAAGTAAGGGATTAGTTTAAGTGCTAAGTCAAGCTATGTAACTTTTAGTTAAGAGATGTTTTTTTTTTTAAGGGGGGAAAATCATCAATGACTGCTCCCGCTTAAGAGATGGTTTAGGTGTGGTTGGTAAATACCTTTATCCTTACTAGTTCTTACTATATTAATATTATAAATCGGAAAGTGAGTTTGTTTGTTTATTCCGCTTTCACGCCGTAACTACTAAACCGATTGCTTTGAATTTTGTTTTTACAGACGTAAAGTTAGAAGTCTGGATTATATAATAGGGTAGTTTTATCCCGGAAAAAATTTGATATTCTCGAGGAAAAACGAAATCGTTGGTATACTTAGATGGCGCTGTGTGTATATGTCACATAGGCTACTTTTTATCCTTTTGTGACGCGAGCGAAGCCGCGGGTAAAAGCTAGTACGTTATACAATATTATATTCCCGTGTAAACATTATTATGATGAATTTAAACAACAAAGAAACATCCATTTGTATATTCTCAGCTTCAAAATACTTCAAATTCGAAATCCCTTCAATCATTCTCTTCATCCCTTTAACCCTTATTATCCTTTTAAACTACTACACACATGAAAGTAAATCGTACATCCTAACTTGATCCTCATTTAAGTCAAGTTTATGTTCAAAAGAAGCCTATAACCTAACAAGCTACCCTTAAATTCTTCAAATAGATTTTCTTCTTTAGAACAATTAACTAGAGTCAGAATTTTAGTTAGATTCCAGATTTGACAATAGCTACTGTCATTTTGTGAAATAATGATACCACATATAATAGTGTAGTGATGAACACAAAAATCAATAAACAATCAGTATGTGTGTTTTATAATAAATGTTACAGAAAGTGGCAGGATAGCGATAGCGATGACGGCGACAATTTATAAAATAACTTGTTACCGTAATACATCTATCTGTTTTATTTGTCATGTTCCTTCATGATTACATTTTTTTATTTATTTCACACACAATTATAAAAGAAGAGTCTCAGATCGTTAATTATTCGTCAAAACTAAATTATCGGCTCAGAATATTTAATTTCCTGATATACTTAGTTTACGAGAGTAAAATTATAAACGAGAAGAATCGATCCAGAAATTTTGCATTTCCATATCGAATAATTTCGCAACGTCACTATTTAGTACTTATCATAACGTTGCAACACTGAAATTGTCAAATCTGGAATCGAATTAAAATTCCGGGTATAAGGTTGAATTTCTAATAAAGAAGTTTGATAAATTGAATGCTCTGAATTGCTGTTGTCTATGTTAATAACTACAGGATTTAAAATCATTAAAAAGTCGTCTGTAAGAGATCGCAATCTGCGATAAGAACGCCCATTGCACACATTTTATGTAGATATTTTTTCTTTATGTTTTTATGGTGTACAATAAAGTGTAAATAAAAAGTCAAAATTTATTTCAATTAAACCATATTTTGGTACTTTTGAAACGTGAAAAATATACATAATAAATAATAGTCTGTCAGTCAGTCCGTCAGTGAAGCTTGGTGAAGCTCATTCCAAAATGTAGATTCAAACGGAAATCCATTCGTTACTCTTTTTAAAAAAAGTATGTTCTACAATGTAAGTAAATAAAAATAAATAAAAGTAGTCTAACGCGGCAATTCGATTTTGGTTTGTGTCGGACGCACGCTCGCGACTCTAGTGGCAACACGCCACCTCTCTATTCCTCTTCCCCCGCTGGCCGCTTCCCCGCCACTGCCCGCTCGACGCTTGCGTGGAAACGTCACGCGCCCGCCGCGCCGGGGCCGCGACGCACGCGCTCCGTGTTTGCACCGCGAATATTTGAGTATTGAGTTGTTTTTAAAATTGTGCAACTTTGTTTATATTTATTTTAACGTTTACTCCAATATATACAGTTTACAGTTAGTTATGTTTCTGCCAGCGACAGAGGGTGCAAATGGAAACTATGATCATTTTACTAAATTTATTATAATTAAAATTACATGATAATTCCTAAAATCTAACTAACCTAAGTGCGAATGCGTTCGATGTTAGAACAACACTGATTTCTTTTCTTAAAATTATTTCGAAAGAAGGTTTTCAATAAAACCTATTGAGGTTAAATTTAGTGGGGTGATTGCTAATGCAGCGATTCGCAGCTGGGCACGAGGCGGTGACATGAGGAGTTGACTCAGCAGTTTGGGTGTTGCAATACTTCGTTGCACCAAAGTAGGTCTAATGTCCTGATTCAGCAGATATGGTCTTCGTGGCTCGGCGTTGATCACGGTGTAGGTACATGTGTCGGCACCGATACGTAACAAGTTCAATCGTATGTCGATCCTCATGTCACGACCTGATAACCAACCAACACTAAGACAATCAAGAGATTAAAGTGACGCCCAACTTGCGGCCACGAAGTACGAACGAACTGTGCATAACAACTCAAAAGTCACAACAAGTTCTAGTGTTCCTATCGTGCAAACACATTGTGAACTCTCTCCGATAGTGTAATTACACGAAAACTATTGTAAAACCAGTGCAAATACGAAAGTGAAAACACTTGGGCAAGTCCATTTTCCGCGTGCCGCCGGTTGCGTCTGTAGGTATATACCTACCGACTCGTTGAAACTACCATCCTCAAAATCATCACTCGTGCTCTTCGAGCGAGTAACAGTTGGAATTGCGTGTTATCATGCCGCCGAAGAGAAGAACTGAAAGAGATGAGGGATCGGATACCGACACAGATGTCGAGTTGAATAGAACAGTGATTTCGTCACCAAATGTTACAATGTCGGAGGATATGCTAAATGCCCTTGTCTCCAACATCACTAGAGGTCAAGTGGAAGCGAATAGAGTTCTGATTGAAAGTATTTCCGCGGGAAACAAAAACCCGTTGATTACGTCACAACCGCGCGCCAAAGTCGCCGACGCACACACGCATGCGCCACGCGCAAGAAACTTTGCGAAATGCACGGCGCGATTTAACGGATCATCGAAGAACGCGGATGAGCTCGAAGCATTAATCGAGGCCATCGAAGTCTACCGCAACTGCACCAACGTCAGCAACGAGCACGCGCTGCGCGGCCTGCCGATGCTGCTGGTGGGCGAGGCCGCCGTCTGGTGGCAAGGCAGGTCGTCGGTCACGTCGTGGACCGACGCCCTACAACGACTTCGAGGGATGTTTGGAGTGCCGCGACCCGGTTATAAAATACTCCCGAGACATTTTCGCTACCGAACAAAATAGTGTACGGACCGACGTATTTATTTGTAAAGTGCGCGCTTTGATATCAATATTACTTACCTACCGACACCGTACGTAGTACCGGAGCCCGGAGGTAATGAAGTTGGACATTGTATACGGGTTGTAGATCGTAGGATTAGAAAACGCGTGTGTCGTGATTCCTGCGACGGGCTGGAGCAACTCATTACCAAAGTCAAGTTAGTCGAGGAGTCACTGGCGGAGGTAAGTTCCCCCATTCTTAATAATAACACGAGTTCTGTTGACTCGTGTGCCGCGCACGACCGTTCTGATTCTGACACAAACCCGAGTCCTACCCTTTCGAATACAGTCGCCGAACCCGTAAGTTCGAAATCGTCATCTTGCGCGAGTTCTTTAATGAGTTTACGTGATGCGGCCGTGTTAGGTCAGGCCTCCGCGTCTAACATAAGTAATAATATAATAGGGACGTACGAAAACGTACGCGACAGAAGTGTAGTTATTGTAAACTTTTCGGGCATTCAGTTGATAACTGTCGTAATAAGAAGAAAGATACTTCTAGTAATAATAATAACACTCAGTTACGTTGCTACGGATGTGGCGAACTGGGAGTAGTGCGCTCAAAATGCGATAAGTGTAAAAGTACAGCCGACTCAAGTAAAGTAGATTTTTGCAGTACCTACATTGTAGGCGTGAGTGATGATGATTCGCAACCGCTGATAAATATTAAGGTCATTGACCGTAAGGGTGTGGCCATACTGGACACGGGAGCCACACATTCTATCGCAAGCCCTATGCTTTGCTCGTTAATGCTGGCGTGATGTTTAGGACGGTCGTACGTACCGTAGGTCTTGCTGACGGGTCTCAGCAGAAACGTACCGCGCTTGAGTGTGACGTTGACGTCACATTAACAAAACGCGTGATACCCACTACGTTTATAGTGCTACCGAATCCTCAACGAGGACGCTGCTAGGTAGGAATTTTATTATGAAAGCGAATATCCTGTTGGATTCACCACAGTGCAGCTAGCGTTTTAACAACGAGTCGAATTGGCATCCGTTTGCCGCCAGCCCCGTTTTACCTACCACTGATAGCATGGAGCCGGCCGCGCTGACGTTTGACCAGAGGGCAAAGTCAACTGCGTCTCTGTTGGATATAACCAACCGCTCCGCGAAGAACGAACACCCGATTACACCCGGCTTCGGAGCCGGAGGTCTGCTTCTTTTAAAAACCCAGGGTAGCGACGATGCGCCCGCGGACAGACTCCGAAGTCCATACCCCGTCGTATACTAGGTAGTGGCGAGAATTCGAGTAAGTACCGCGTCTCAAAGACGACTCCTTTCGTAGGCAATGGGCTGGTTCCGCCTATTAACGAAAAGTGTAGGCGCGGAAGACCTAAGCGATTTCTTGACTGACCAAGACGCGAGGGCGCTATGTCTAGGTCGATTTTGGTTTGTGTCGGACGCACGCTCGCGACTCTAGTGGCAACACGCCACCTCTCTATTCCTCTTCCCGCGCTGGCCGCTTCCCCGATCCCACTGATCGCTCGACGCTTGCGTGGAAACGTCACCACGGACAACAACAACAACAACGAGTCCCGCGCCCGCCGCGCCGGAGCCGCGACGCACGCGCTCCGTGTTTGCACCGCGAATATTTGAGTATTATCTTGTTTTTAATATTATGCAACATTGTTTATATTTATTTTAACGTTTACTCCAATATATACAGTTTACAGTTCAATCGTGTGCCGATCCCCATTTCACGCCCTGAGAACCCACTAAGACAAACTCTCAAGAGATTAAATTAGTCATATAACAAAGCGTGGTGTTCCAGAGGGTTCGAAACCTACTAACGACAAGTACCAATGTGACTTTTACCGAGTTTTATGTACTTTCTAAGATTATCTAGACACCACTGACAAACGGTGAAGGAAAACATCGTGAGGAAACCTGGGCTTAAAATGTCTAACTATAAGTTTGTAATCGCCAACCCGCATTGAGCAAGCGTGGTGATTAATGTTCAAACCTTCTCAGTGTGAGAAGAGGCTTTGCTCAATAGCGGGCATTTATAGGCTGTTCATGATGACGATATAACAAAGTCTACAAACATCAAGTTTCTACACCCCTTTAAAATTTTACAAAAAGTCATCAACAACTTCACACACATAACTTTGCAAGAGAAAAAGCATTTTTGCAGCCATTTTTGTTCGCAAGTCTCTTTGCTCGGGTCTATTATTCATTCGTCTCGTTCTCAAAGGCAAAACTGGGTCACCATGGCAACTGAACTTACATATCTCACCATACTTCTACAGGGAGCCAAGTTATGCATGTAAGACAATACGGATTGATTCATTAGAGACAGTCGAAATTTTTATACTGAATTTGACGGTTTTTAATGTAGGTAGTAAACTTATATTGCGCAACTATTGGGTTGGTCAGATTATTTCAGGTTAGGTAATATAGCTTTTGCTGTTTATAATTCTCTGATACCAAATTGCAATACAATAACGATTTACGTGTCTTGTCCAACGGTCGCCGTTAGCTAGTTTAAACTGTCAAACACCAAGCGGTCACCGGTGACCGCAACCTATTGTTCTATAATTGTGTCTATAATGACGGTACTCGACGAGTTAATATATAACTACCCGGTTGTGATTTCTTATCTTATTATTTATTTTGTAAAATTATTATATTTATTTAATTAATTAGTATCATTTTAAACTGTTAATGTCCAATTGGTGGCTTGTTCGTCCGCGAGTCACTTAAGGGGCCAGTAGAATACCAGCGCAAGGCCCTGTCTTGCACATGCTGAACTGGTCCCATTTCGCGGCAGACATGGGACACCGGACATGAACATGTATCCATCAGTTCCTGTTAATAAATTGGGTTATCTTTTTTCTTTCTTTCTTTCTTCTATTTATCGTGAAAGTACTCAAAAGTCAAGTGAAAAGGATAGACGATTTTAAAAGCGAATTAAAAATTTATTTCCCTTAAAATTTTCAACTGAGGCTGTAGAGTAATTTCTTGATAAAAAAGTCAAGTAAGATGGCAATAATACCGCTTCGTTCTATGGGCGCCTAATAACATAATTGATAAAATTACCTCCCCCTTGAGAGAGCGTGGGTAACGTGTTTGTGTGTCTACAGAAGAGTCTCGTTATTCTCTATTGATGTTATGGTTTCCTGGTACATGGTACCAATTTAGGGAAGTGCAAAATAAGGTAAATAATTATTATGATGGGGTAGTCTGTTTTTGACATAGCTTTTGATGGAATTTGCCATATGGTGCAATTTGAAATACATTTGTCGCCATGAGGCCAAATTGGGCTAATGGCCGATACGGGGCCGCGGAGAACGTAACAGGTTACCGGGGCTCCGGCTCGAAGTGCAGAAGAAGGAACGGGGTGGTTTTTAGTCAGTAAGAGTCTGACACTCCTTCTCGCCTCACCCGGGCGGGAGAAGTCATTGGATGATTTTCCCCCCTCAAAAAACCCGATTCTCATCATAGAATCATGTCGGCATTACTCCAAGGACTGTGTACACCAAGCACACTACCTATACATATAAATACATACAACGTCACTCATCAATTAACGCTCAATCCACACCCCGCAATATATATCAGATGGACCGCTTATTAAATACACAACCGGACCGGTTGTTCGAACGACCGGACCGTCCGGTAGCCGGACAAGTAATTAATTAAACAAACGATCCCGTGATAGCTCTGATGTTAATTATTCTTGGAATCGATTCGATTGTTTGTTTGTTATTGTATTTTTAAGGACGGTGCTGACAATTCTGGTAAGAGCCAGATATTATATTAGTTAGAGAATTCCTCATCATCAACAGCCGAAAGATGTCCACAAGAGCAAGTCATGTAGCGTGGTTCAAAGTCAAAGCATTTATTTTAATTAATCCGTAATTAGGTACTTTTGAAACGTCCAAAATTGAATTGTCCGTCCGTCTGTCTGTCACTGAATGTGAAACTGTCAGTGAACAGATTAGAATTTAGAGGTAGGTACCTACATAGATTTACCCCTGCTTATTCTATGACCCTGCTCTTATGGCTGTCGACAGAGCCGACTGGGACAACTCATCTTACAGAGAATGGGAAGCTCTGTTCTTAGGATAAATCGTGAAAACTGTTCTGTCCTATCTAAAGTCCAACAACGGCCATGGGCTGACAAAGGCTGTTGCTGATACACAGTTTTAAAAAGCAATACAAACATATATTTTCAATAATTTAAATAAGATTATCCATTTAAAATTATACTTTACCTTAGTACCTTTGAGTATTGCCGGTGCAATCAGTTTAACCACAAAATTAAACCTGTCTTCAATGACTAAACCTACTTATACTGTGGACTGATGTCGTTTAAATCCCTGCAGCTGTAGCCAAATTTAGCGCTTGTCTACATGTGGAATAGAAAACCAAATTATATGGAATTGACGTAATTTTGACACTTGTCAGTGTCATCCTGTCACGTTTATAAGACGTGTACAAGAGAGAAATAAAACTAGGTTTAGAATTAATAAAGTATGTGGGTATATTAAAAAAAATTGAAGGGTCTGCCTAGGTCTTTAGCACTTGCTTAGTTCTCCACACTTCCCTGGCGAGCTCCCGTCCTCCAGGCGTAGTTCCGTCAGCTCGGCCACTCCACTCAGGTGCTGTGACGCCACTCCACTCAGGTGCTGTGACAGGTTCGTTGTCCGGTTCGGTTATTGAAACCGTGACGTAATTCCTGGTGACAAGGGCCACATCAGTAAGCTGCCGGTATAAGGGGTGCACGGGAAACGCTAGGTATGCATGGCAAGAACTACATTGGAAAATTAGGGCTTACAAGGCGGGAAGAATTCCAGGCGTGATTCTTAATCGACACTGTAGGTAATGGTCGCTAGCAGAGGCGGTTACAAGCATATAATAAGAACATAGTGAAGGAAAAGCAAAACATTACACAAGGATAGAAATTAATAAGCTACGATAGTTAGACAGGCCCGTACCTTAAGATTAACGCAACGAATATAA